CAAAATTTTAAATATATTTAAATTTATGAATGATAAAAATTTGATTCTATCAAATAAACCTTCCAGTAAATTATTTTTCATTAAATAATATCAATTTTACCATTTATTTATGCAAAATAAATAGTTGGCAAAGTTTTTTCGCTTCCTTTTTTTTTTTTTTTAAGAATATCCAAACAAAAAATTAATTTATCATTAATATTATTCAAATGAATTATACAAATGTTGCTAATTATACTGAATTCATTGTTAATCAACATTTCCCTTCGTTTTTTTTCTTTCATCAAATAGTTATACGGTATTATCAATAAATTTTGCAATATTTCAACAGTTTTTTTTTTTTCACCCTATCTTTTACAATTAGACAAGTAAACAATTCTACAAATAATTGATTCGTTAATTAATTATTTCTTCAATTAGTTGAAGAATTATTTAGTTGTTTTGTACTGAAAAGAATACATCAAAGATTTCATTTTGAAGTATGAAAAATGATGACATCTTTTCTTTCGTTTTTTTTTTTTTTTTTTTTGAAAAAAATTCTTTTCACCAAACTATTACTAATTTATGAAATTTTAAATAACCATTCTTTCTTTCTTTTTTCTTTTTTTTTTTTGTTTCCATTTTATTTTCTTTTTTACTCTTTTATGAATTTCAATAGTATTGCATTATTATCACTAACATTTTCAAATTATAATTATACAAAAATATATTTTATCACTAAAATTAAATTTCTTAAAAAAGACAATGAAAAAGAAAATTTTAGCTTTTAGAATAATTTTTATTAATTAATTGTTAATTAATTAGATGAGAGATAATTTTTTCTTTTTTTTTTTCAGGGTTGTATCATATGCAGTGCCTCCACAAGAGATTCTTTCAAAGGATTCGGTAACAGTATCTGTTGATGCTGTCGTCTATTTTCGTACATCTGATCCTATTGCATCTGTGAACAACGTTGATGATGCCATCTACTCGACCAAATTACTCGCTCAAACAACTTTACGTAACGCTCTTGGTAGTTTAATTATCTTAATTATTTATTATCTCCTAATTAGCATTTAATTAAGGCTTAATTATCTCTTTTCAATTTCAAATTTCAAAAAATATAAAATATCTCAATAACAAAACATTGCAAATTTCGCTTAAAGATTTAGAAATGAATAATTAAAACTTTAAATTTTATATAAATCACTTTGCAAATATTACATAAAGTTATATTTTAGAAGAAAATTTAAAAATTCAATCAAATCTACCCAATGGATAGATAAGATTAATTAAATTAGGAAAAAATAAAATGAAATAACTATTAAATGGACTAAACTATGTATTATTATTATTTCTTTCATTTCTTTTAAAAAATTTGTTATTATTTTCAAATTTGTTATTATTCTAAGTTGAATTTTTACCTTTTACTTATGCAAAAAATTTAGTTTATAATTTATGAAAAATTAAATTTTTGGATAGTTAAATTTTTTTTTAAAAAAAAAGGATACGTATCATTTTTTACTGCAAAGTTACACACAAATTGAGATTACCCGATGGGATTAAGTTTATGTCAGGCTAACTTTAGCATAAGTCATGTGACATAGAAAATTCTAGAAAAAATAAATTTTGTTAATTTTAGGCATGAAAACTTTGACGGAAATGTTAACGGAACGAGAAGCTATTGCGCAACTTTGTGAAACTATTTTGGATGAAGGAACAGAACATTGGGGTGTTAAGGTTTAAGTTTTATTTTTTGCTCTTTTTTTTTTCTCTCCATAAATGATAGCTAATAAATGCAAAGATAATTATTGGTAAATCTCGGGATAATCTTCTAATAATATTGACTAATAATTAATTAACTAATAGAATGAATTTATTTTTATCACACCTTACTAGCATATAATTTACAGGTAGAACGAGTGGAAGTAAAAGATATCAGATTACCTCAACAATTAACACGTGCAATGGCAGCAGAAGCTGAAGCTGCACGTGAAGCTCGTGCCAAGGTAGTCGCAGCAGAAGGTGAACAGAAGGTAGGTTAATGCAAAAATGACCCATATATTTTATCATAATTATCATAAAATATACAATACTTATCATATATTCTTCGGTATTTTATCATCAAATACAAAAAAAGAAGAAAAGTCGAATCTCTTCTTATCACTTCTATAATAATCATATGATAATGCTGAAGGAATTCAGAATTATGCAAATATCATTAAATATTTCACTGTTTACCAAATATCATTTATCTTTTTCCTTCTTACAATATATCTTTTCCTCTTTTTTTTTTTAATTTTAAAATATGCTTCTTTAAATATTAATTACAATATATAATAATCACAATACTTAAATTTTAACTGAAATAATTCTTTTTTGATAATATTATTGAAGTAGATGAATTGAAAGATTAAAATTAAATATTTGATGAAATATAAGAAGTAAAAAATTACATCATCTATCTATTCATTTTATATTTATTGATGTTAAAATTAATACAGCATAGAATTTTTTTTTTTTGAATATTTTAATTCTTTTAAAATAATTATTTAGCAATTAACTTTATTTTCGTATCACTTATTCATTTAATTAAAATTAAAGGCATCTCGAGCACTTAAAGAAGCTGCTGATGTAATTCAATCAAATCCGGTAGCTTTACAATTACGACATCTTCAAGCATTGAATAGCATCGCGTATGATTTAATTCTTTTTTTTAAAATCTTTGTTAAAAATAACAAAAAACAAAAGATTTTTAATTTCAAAATCCGCGCAAGAAATTGAAAAGTGTAGAAAAAAATCAATAACAAAATACTAATTGGAAATTTGATAATTATTTCACATACAAGATGTTGATTAATTAATTGAAATAATTTGATTATTCAGTTAAAATATACATGTCTTTCAATGATTTTCAATGTTTGAAATAATTCAGATATTGTAAAATTGTTAATTTGATACATTTATAATTAATGATATCATAAGATAGAAATGATAATAATGATAAGTGATAAGACTAATATGAAAAATGATATAAGTAATGATAATAATAATAAATGATACATTTGGTATGCATAAGTTATCATGAGTGAATAAAATAATGATAAAAGATAAAAATGATAACAATGACAAAAGAATGATAAAAATGATATTTTTGCAGAGCGGAACACAATTCAACGATCGTATTTCCTGTTCCAGTTGAAATGTTTGGAGCATTTATGAAAAAAGATAATTAAATATGTCACAAGAAAAAAAAAAGTGGACGAATGAAGAGAAAGGAAGACAAAAAAAAAATAAAATAGGAAATATGTAATCATGTATGAAATTTGCCCAATATTTTAATCGAAATGAATTCCATTTCCGGATTTCAGATAATCTGATTCTACTTGATTATTACAAATCATTCGTTATGCTTTCTTTACTGATGAAATGTAATATTTGCTATTTTCAATTAGGTATCTCGTATTTTATTGTTTCTGTCCGTAGAAATGTTTTAACTTCAATATCATAAATCAAAAATTAATTGATGAAAATTATTGCTGAATGAAAAACTGAATGAAATAAGGGAAGGAATACTGAATTTGAAAATTAAAAAAAATATATGAAAAACGATAAATATATGACAATTTAAAAAAATAATTTATAAAAAAAAACAATTGCCAAAAATAGAAAACAAAAATTAAATCAAATCAATAAATAGACAATTTAAAATAAATTAAAAAAAACCTTTATTAAATAATGCAATATTATGAGTACAGCTTCTCTTTTTTTTTTTTACTTACAAATAATTCATTGTGCATAAAAAATAATTAATTCTGCTTTAATGTCAATATAATTAACTAATTAATGTATAATGTAATAAGACAATAAAAACTTCTTGCTTTTTTACTGCAAACATTTTTAAGAATATTATTACTCCATATTTTAGCTAATCAATTTTAATGTCATATTTTAAGTATTAATAATATTTATTTAAATTATTTGAAGTCAGGTGGAAAACTTTTTGTTTCAAAAAAAGGAAAAAATCGATAAGAAAAAATCGTGAAATTTGGATTGTTGGGTTAAAATTTTGTCCTATTTTCCCAAATTAGTCACGGAAAATATTTCTCGAGGATGACATGAAATATTCTCGAGACATTTTTGCATAATTTCTTAATATAAATGAACATTCCATTCTTTTCGTTTATCGCTATTTTGACTATAAAGGGAATATGTAAGCTTAATTTCGTAATTTCAAATAAAATTAATTAGAAATTGAAGTATTGAAGAGAAAAAAACAAAAAGATGCATAAAAGATAATTCGAGCATATGATATGCACAGCATATTTAGTTGATTAAAGCTTTTGGTTAATTAATTAATCAGTAATCAGTCTCTTCTAGAAACTAACAAACAATTTATACTTCCTTTGACAATTCTATTTGATTAAATCTCCATACAGTTGTCAAAAAAAAAAAAAAAAGAAAAATAAAAGCAGAAAACTTTGAAATATTGTTTGAATTATTTGTTTTTTGAGTTATTATTTGAATTTACTTTTGAATTATTATTTGTTTTCTCTGCAGTTAAATGGGAATGCTAAATAAATAAGTTATAGAATTGCAAACAAACAATAAACATTTAAATTGCAACAATAACAAACAATAACAACAACAACAAACAACAAC